AAATGCCAAATATTATTATTATTTTTTTAATCAAACAAAATAAATGATTGTATCTATGTATATGTTTGATTCTAGTGCTCTTTGGCAAAGTGGCGAGTGTGGTACTTCACCAAAAATGGCGTGACATTGTGTTGAGAGTCATTGTGGCGGTCAGCGAGTTATCACAAGGGACTTTACTCCATGTGTCCCTGGATCACTGCAGTTCTCCTGCACTAGAGAACAGCATGACTTACCTTTGGGAGGAAAACAACAGGAAGTACAAGCCTCTCTCCATCCCTGTTGACGTAACCTCTGACATTCACATGTTCTTTACAGCATGTGACCTAAATCTCATGCAGGCCTTAAAGCAGAGTGTCAACACATGTTCGCACATGCTTCATATTCAGGGTGGATTTTCAATGTAAGTCAACTTTTAAAGAGAAACAGTTGACCTATCGGTAAGCCCCGCCCCCCTTAGTTACTGTTGCAAACTCGAACAAACAAATGGAGTTGCTAACTGTCTTACAATGACATGCAGCTGTCAGTGTGAAAACCTTGTCCCGAGATGTTTTAGATACATTTTGAACACAGAAGGACCACCATTCAAGTGGGACTTAAATATGCCATAGAGAGATATATAAAAGATTTAAAAATAAATATTGTGGGTATTAATTTGGAAGCGAGGGTTTACAGATCACAATGCAAGCGGGAGAAGCCTTGTGTTACAGTCATCACAATTGTAGATGACAACATCCAGGATGTACCGCAGGGTAAGATTAAATTAATTTACATTTGACCAGTTTATTATGGAGAGGCACTAAAATGCAGATCTTCATTTATGTGTTTTTGACCTACGCTGTACATGACGTGAGAACAGTTAGCTATTTAGGTTGGTACGTTAGCATGGACTCGCTAACTTTAACGTTAGCAAGTTTTAGCCAGAGATACCTTGCTGAAGCACAAGATGACATTAACGTTCTGCTTGAGCAGATTGGGGTTGAATGCTTAGGGACATTTTGCTCTGTTTTGTTTGTGTTTAGGAAATGGAATAAAATATATTCTATTGCCAATCCTCTCAGGATACCTGTATGTGGCGAATGGGGCAGGGCAGAGAGCCGTGGGAATGGAGCGAGGCCGGTGGAGTAAATGATAATGAGTGATACCTACACCACTCACCGGTCTCGAGTCCCACAGAGGAGCTACGGAAGGATAAAAGGAGGAGTAACGACAGTGTAGGACAAGAGAGGACCAGGCCTCGCTCCGTTCCCACGGCTCTCGGCCCCGCCCCACTCGTCACACTGGAATCAGTGTTTCAAGTACACACTGTTTTTCCATTTTTGTAGCATTAACACCATAAAATCAATGAGAGCTTCAGATCTTCCAATGTTTCTCTATGGCGCTGAAACCTAAAGATGTCCAAGTTCCGCTCCCTGTGCAACTGATACTTAACTGCCATTGGCTCATCTGCATTCGATGGGAGGGGCATACCGATAGGTCAATTGCATCTTTTTTTTTTTTGGTCTGATTTACATTTTACCTTTTATACACATAACATTTTACATACTAAGTGCATTTATTTTAATAAAAATGTTTTTAATCAATAACCGAACATCTGTTGGATTATTATTTATCAGTCAGGTAACTTTAAAAATGTTAAGCTACAATAAAAAAAAATTTGACCACATGATTTTCTCCTTTCAATAAATTTTACTTATATAATAATACAATTAAATAATTACTTGACTTATAATTTATTTAATATCACATACATTTTGATATTTAATCAATTTCAGGTCTGTTTTATTTTAGTGGCAGGATTTACAGTCCGAGTGAAGAAAATGCTAATTCATCATTTAAAATACAAGTACATTTAAAATTTTGCATATTAGCGCAACCATACGTTTGTTGTAGTAATACATTTGTTATACCATTACTTGAACGATTATACTTAATAATGTATTTTATGAGAATATGCAATATATTCACTTCATCTGTTATAATCGTGCAGCATATTAAAGGATCTAAAGCAAGGGTGCCCAAACTCAGTCCTGGAGGGCCGGTGTCCTGCAGAGTTTAGCTCCAACTTGCCTCAACACACATTTACATTTACATTTACATTTAGCAGACGCTTTTATCCAAAGCGACTTACAAATGAGGACAATAAAAGCAGTCAAAACTAACAAAAGAGCAACAATATATAAGTGCAAATGACAAGTCTCGGTTAGCCTAACGCAGTACACGTAGCAAGGTGTGTGTGTGTATATATATATATATATATATATATGTGTGTATGTATGTATGTATGTATATAT